GGCAGGCCAGGTAGACTTTAGAAGAGGAAGAGGAGATGGCATTCCATGGAAGATTCATTTTGTGGGCTGATGCATGAGTGTGGTCATGATCATGAAATTCCCCCGCTGGTGAGGAGACTGGCCTAATGGTAGAGTAAGATGTAAGAGACAAGATCAGAGTGAGTCTGGTGAGTCACATAGGATGGGGGAGGTTCCCTGGGGCCACTGGAGGATATTAAGCAGAACAGTGACATGATTTATGACTGGAGTCACCAGTCCCCCAGGCTGCATGGCTCATGGTGGCCTGGAAAAGGGGGTCCTGACCACATGGAAGGCTTTGGGAAAGCTCTAAGGTCAGGTATGCATAAACCAGACAGCATATAAATCAGACATACAGACTGCAAGACCTTCTCTTTGGAAAGAAAAGGCATAATATAAATGACTTCCTAAATGACTTGGGCCACCCTTCCCCTCATTTATCCTGGGATTTCTTACTGAATACTCTAGTGGAAGAAGACTGTCTTGCTCAAGTGTCTCCTCCAGCTGTCTCCCTTGGATACAGTGGCCAATGGCGAAAGTCTTTCCAAGAAGTCTGGCTTCAAAATGTCCTTCCTGTACTTGCCTGTGAAAGACAGCAGCATCTATTTTTGAATTATGACCAGTTTGGAAGGTTCTCCCTGGCTCTAGCTGTGTTTATTTTCAGAAGAAGTATGAGCTGGGCTTTTGATGGCGGAGGTGGGGAGGAGTAGGAATTGGCTATTTCTACCTTTCTGGGGAACAGGCCTGGAAAATTGCTTCTGTCTAAGGGTGTCTCCCTGGAATGTCTTGGTCCCAAGTCTAGTTCTTTTTCTTTGTCTGCTAAATGTTTTTGGAAAGTACTTTCTTCCAGCACTTCCCTCCCCTACCCCGCATAAACCACTGAGTCGGATCTCTCCCAAGATGCTGTCTGAATTGCATTTTCCAGCCTAGATGCCACATCAGCCACTTGCCTTTGACCAGATTAAGGCAAAGCTAAAGGAACATTTCATCAGTGAAACTAGCTACTGTGTCTATACTTTTCTCCACAGGCCAAGAAAAGAAATAGAAAAATAGAATTGTGTGGGTACATAATAGAAGTAGTGATGGTGGCCCACAAAAGCAAATTCATGGTTCTATTAGAGGGAGTGGGATTACAGTTGTCAGTGCTTTCTGGTATTCCATGTGCCTGGGGTGTCTTTAACCCCTAGAGGGCAGTCATGGACCTCTTGAAGCAGACACCCTTCTGTTCTGCATTATGTCCATCTCCCTCAATCCATTTCTTTTTTTTTTAATGTTTAACATTTTTTAATGTTTAATTTTTTTGTTCTTTTTTATTTTATATATTTTACATCATTTTTCATTTTTGCACAATGTATGCATTGCCATCTTGTATATTCCCCATGCAATTCCCACCCCCTTTATTTTGACCCTAATTCCTCATCCCCTTACCCCACCCCCCCCCCGAATTTGTCTCTGGTTTATAGTTGCTTGTTGATTTTGATTTTTACTTCAGTGTAATTATTTTTTCCTGGTCCCTTATTTAGGTTTTCTAAATTCCTGCTATGAGTGAGACCATCCGGTATTTTTCTTTTTCTTTCTGGCTTATTTCGCTGAGCATGATCCCTTCCAGCTCCATCCATGTTGCTGCAAATTGCATGAGTTTATCTTTTTTGATTGCTGAGTAATATTCCATTGTCTATATGTACCACATATCCAGTCATGTATTTTTGGGCATTTGGATTGTTTCCATAGCTTAGCTATTGTAAATAGTGCTGCTATAAACATAGGGGTGCAGGTGCCCTTTTGAATTAATGGCAATCCATTTCATTTTTGTCTTGCCCTGTTTTGAAAGATTCTGCTAAATCAAGTTTGTTTATGTTCAGTTTCTCTACCTTCCACATATAAGTGAAACCATCCCATACATAGGAAAAACTGAGCAAAAGGTCAAAATAAAAGACAAAACTAGCAAGCTGACCATAGATCTGAGGCATACAGCAAGGGGTCTGGGGTGGGGGGCAGAGGTCAAACAAAACAGGGGAGAGAAGAGCACAAGGGACTGTGGTGATGAATCATCATTTATATGGTGGTGGGAGAAGTGGGGGGGGCTGCACCTGAGGGGAGAAACCAATTACTGTGTAAAAATGAACAACAATGTAAGAAAATAAAAAAGAAATTAATGTGGTAATAACTGTAGACATATGCAAACATACTAAAAACCATTGAAATGTATACTTTAAATGCAAAAAAGTAAGTTTGTTTATTAAGAAATGACTAATGTATATTTTACAAGGCAGTAATGACTCTCGCATGAGCATGAGATGATGGGCCTGGCTCATACAATGCTAGCCAAAAGGGAAACTTAGTGTAAGGTTGGCTTGCACAGCCTGATAAAGATGAAGTTGTAGACTCAGCTGTCTTTTTGAGGTATTGATTAGATCGATTATATTTGCTGATGGAAAAACTTGACAAAAAAACAAGTTATAAGCAGTAAGTGCTTTTGATCGCAGTTTAATCCCTATGACTATGAAACAATGTTAGTTAACCTTGGTTATATACCTAAGTGATAGAATTATGGGTAATTCTCACTTTTTTGTATTTATGTTATCCTATTGGTAAGATAATGGATTTTTTAAATCTAATTTATTTATAATTTTTTGTCAAAATTATATTACATGTACATATAGAAGCATTTAATATGTTTGAGGCCTCCCCTTGGATACCTCTTCACTCCAATTAGTTTCTTCCAAAGGGTTAACCCTGTTAGAACATCTTCTATATATCTCTAGGATGATATCTATGAATTTTCACCACATATAATAGTGTTTTGAGTTAGTCTCTATGGTTTATATAATTGATTTATTATACCACTTTCTTTAACATTCTTGGACATCTTTCCTATATAAAAGCAAAACAGTCAAATTGAAATTGATCTCATTTTCTGTAAGACCACTTTTGAGACCTGATACTACACAATATTATGTATTTTAAGATACACATTTGAATATCATAAACATAGCTTATGTCTTTAAGTCAGCACAATATGACTGAAAATGGAGTGCAAAAATCTCTTAACTTTCCGGTCCCCTATCTTCCTATATTTTTACACATAAAAGTAGTAGATCTGAGGCAACCTGTTGGCTCAGGGGTTAAAGACAGCACTATCAAGCTATTGCCAACCACTGCAACATGAGTTTGATTCCCAGCCAGCCAGGGAGCTACCCACATGGCGCAGCAGACCTCTCCTATCTCGCCCTCTGCTCCCCTCAGCAGTGCATCTCAGTGAGTCCTCCTGTTCTGTTCCCTGATCTCTCTCTGGTGGATCCTCTCACTCCCCTGAACCTCAGGACTGTACCCCAGTTATTGTATGCATAAATAAATAAATCTTCAAAAAAAAAGTAGTAGATCTGGAACATCTCCTATGTCATTCACGTAAGGTTATTTATCTCCATAATATAATTTCAAAGAAAGCTAGGGACATTTGTCAGAAGCCTCACCATGTAATTACATGAACTAAGGCACATTTTTTTCAGTGAAAACATTAGTAAGTGACAGATATCAACAAAAAGTCTCTTTATATTTCCCTCTTTATTCAATGTTCTGCTTTCAAATACCAGTTCTGCACTTTCCTTGCAGACTTACGTAAATTATAATGTTAGTATAAAAATTCCAACTTGTTGGTTGGCACAGAGTAGTGGCTCAATAAGGGGTGGCTATTATTACTACTACTATTGCTGTTTATGCCCATTTCTATCTACTTACAATGAATACAACTTAAAGTTTTCTGGGTTTTTAAAAAAATGTTTACTCAAAGATAAAATAGCTTTGGAAATGTCTTCTAGTCCATTTAGGGTTTTTTTTTTAATTATTTGACATCTCTCCACTATCACATATTCTTATGTTTGATGTAAGTGAGCAAAACAGAGTCTCTGCTCTCTGCGAAATTATACTCTAAAATGGATGAACTTTGTTGGACATTCCTAAAAAAAAGTCATACTAACAATCCTGAGCCAGTGTCATAAATTCATTTGATCCCTGTAAGGTCAAAATTTAGGGAGGACTATTTATACCCATGAACATTATGAGCATCTTAAATAAATAAACAAATACAAGCTTAAATATTGGGAAGTCCCTAATATGTATGCATTATATATAAAATATATTACATATTATATACTTAGGTTATGTCTATATGTAATGTATATAATATATATTATATTATATTATATACATATAATACATATAATATAGCAAAAAATAGCAGCCCTAGAGAGTATGTGATACTATATGTTTTTAAAGCTATAGTATTGTTATCTGGGTCTGATTTCATTAAACCAGAAATTTTTCTCCTCTTGACTAATTATTTATTTCAGATTTAATAAGAATTTAAAGATTTATATATTAACATCTAGGTTTTTACCTCTAAAAGCAACCACTATTATCAGTTTATTTTTCTCAGATTTTATATTCATATAAAGATATTTTACATGAAGAGAAATATGTAAAAAGAGATATATAGCTGTTATATATTTATACTTTTTAATTTAAAAATGATGAGATACTGTTCTCACAATTATACATCTTATCTTTCCATTTAATATATTGGAAACTGAAAATTGTTCAGAATACGCTTGTAAAGATACACTCCATCTTGTGTATAATTGCTTTGCTTTTCATTTCTCAGTTTAAATTCCCTTGTTCAAATAATCCCTGTTGGACATTTAGGTTATTTTGAGCCTTTTAGATATTCAATGCTACAGTAAATAACTTTATACATGGGCTTTTTTTTTTTTTAACATATGCAAGTTGATCTTGATAAACTACTGGAAAAGAAAATGCTGGTTCAGTGCAGGTGCTTTTATAATTGGTACAGAAATTGTTAAATTGGCCTCATTGCCAGTTGTAGCAGGTTACACTCCCATCACTGTCTGAAAGTAACTGTTTCCCCACAGCCTTGCCAACCCAATAGTTTATGAACTTTTCTCTTCTTCGCTTTGTCCTTACAGAGGTCAGCAGAAGTGGCTGCAGTTAGATCACCGAGTTCTTGACCATGATCTGCCTAAGAAACCAGGCCCAACCATCTTGCACTTTGCTGTGAGGTATGTACTCACGGGTGCCTACAGCACCCCGCCTCCTGCTCTGCTATTGTAGTGAACATGTGTGGTGATCAGAGTTAGAAAATATAAAAACAGGGGACCTATTAAATTCAGGATGGGGGTGGGCAGGGAAAGGGTTCGTGCACAGCAAAATTGGTAAGGTTTTATTTCTTAAGCTATATACAGGAAAACCTATTATTTAAAAGAGATTTTCTGCTGCCTTAGTTGGGACCAAGTTACCATAGATACTGTATAGGTCTTTGAAGGTGAAGGATAGAATCACCTTCCTCTAGTCCTGAGAGCCCCTTGAATTCACTTAGCTGAAAAACATAGGTAATATATTTTATAAATAAGCCTGTTTCTGCTCAACATAATTTTATGCTTTTATAATGTAAAATATGGCAAACATTCACTATTACATTTTATGTAGAAATGTTTTCTAGACACTGGAAATAATTTAATTCCATTTCATGCAAATAACAGTGCAAAAAGCAGAATTCCACTTGCATCCAGAGACACAGCTGAGAATAATGTAAAGTCCTGAACTTCTCTGAACTCTGCTCGGGCAGGTCACTTAACCATACATACAGACCTCAGTAATTCTTAAAATGGATGTCTTCAACTGAATCAGTGGTTTCTTAAAGCTAGCCCATGCTGGACACATTTTTTGCTTTAATTATTCATAATCTAAGATAAAAAGTCAAGAAAAGGTAACACCCATTTTCCTATATATAGATTAAGAAATAAAACCTTACCAATTTTGCTGTGCTCTTACCCTTTCTCCCATATCCTGAATTTGATAAAAATTTCATGAAAAATTTTGTTTTCCTGATCTAAGCCAAATATGGTAGAATAAGCTAAAGTAGTAGATTTCTCATAAATTTAAATATATTTTCATAAAGCTCAATCGACCTAAAGAACTGTTCTATATTCTGAGCTTATGTATTTTTTGGATATTGAAATATTCTTTATAACCTGGTGGTGGAAACTTCTTGCTTTTTTCAGGGGATTTATACTCTATTTGTCAAAACTCTGTCAATTTCTGCAAATGCTTTTTTCCCCTCTTCAGTCTGCCCCATGAAATCCAAACATGCGGTAATAAGATGTTCTCCTTTAAAAAAAAAAAAAAAAGATATTTTGATGTGAATTGGTAGTGATTATGGATGAGAGCTGCTCCTTACTTGGTAAATAAAATGTTGACAACCCCTAATTTATTTTTTCTTACCACCACAAATCACAATTTTTAAAACCCAGGATGAAGGTAGTATAACAGTAATTTGTCCAGGAGCAATAGCTGATATCATATAGTTCACAGAAATGCTAAAGAAAAGGGCCTCCCCTGACGGCGCAGCGTTGAGCGCTGGTTTGCGAAGCTGCCCGCAGCCTTTGCAGTGCTGGTTCTGCAGCTCCAGTTCGACCCCCGGCCGCCTGCGAGGGTCCCACATGGCATGACAGACCTCTCCTGCCGCGCCCACTGCTCCACTCAGCAGTGTGTTTTGTCAGTCTGCCTGTTCTGTTCCCCGCTCTGGCTCTGGTGAATTCTCTCATCCCTCCCACGCTTCTGACTGTACCCAGTGCTTGTATAAATAAATAAATAAATAAATAAATAAAAGAATAGCTATAAGAAAGAAAAAATCAAAATCAACGAACAACTATGAACCAGAGACACACTATGGGGGCGGGGGGTGGCAAGGAAAGGAAGGATTGGGGTCAAAGTAAGGGGGTTGCAATTGTATGGGGAATATAAAAATAAAAATTAAAAAAAAAAAGAAATGCTAAAGAGAAACAGGAGTTCTGGAAAGAATGTGAGTGCTTATGGCTATGGAAATGAGGATAAAGATAAACACAAACCAACAAGCAATAAGAAAACATGCATATTAGTAATTAAGTAGCAGTCAGAGAATAGAGATATTTTATTCTGGTACTGTGTGGGAGAACTGGTTACATAATTTTTTTTTCCCCAAAAATTTATTCTCTCTAAAAAATTTGAATTAAAGACTGAAGATTCCTCTCCATCAGCCTTTCTCCCTTACTCCTGTCATCAACGCACGTATCTTCTTAGACAAAAATAAGAATGATAAGCTGTTTGGTGACTTAATTTTTATTTTCACTTGAAGATTTTTCCTTGAGTGTTTAAAGATCTACTTTATTTCTTTGCTTGTCCATAATTTGGCTATCCAGTCTCACTATTAAGCATTTAGACAGCTTCCAATTACTTATATTCAGCTTCAGGTCGCAGTTAGCCTCCTTGCACCTATGTCTTTGTGCACGCAGTGTTTATGTCACACAGCTACTCAGTGAAAGCTTTGTGCCTGTGCAGGATTTTCAAGTACTGTTTATTTAGTCACCAGATTTCTCTACTAGTTCATTGACAGCTAATATCTGGCCCATTTTTTGGTCTCAAAATACCAAGCAAGAAAACCTTGTCTTCCCTCTCTGCAATCATGCTATCTCTTCAAAGCAGGTTCCTGAGATTCCAGAGTGGCCTGCAACTTGTTCGTGAGTTTCAGCACTTACCTAGTCACTTGGCTTTACTTTCCCTTAATGACTTGCAAGTTAAACCCCTTATCAGGTTTTTAATTATTCACGTAATTCTTCCACCCAACAGTGTAGTGAGATCATAATAGTTTTTGTTATTATTCCCATTAAGTACTTGTTGTTACTCCAATCTAATTAAAGAAATGATAAGGCAAAAGCACACACGAAAGAATTAAATGAACTGACCCAGGTCACCAAGTGGAATGTAATTCTTTGGAAGTCTTACAAATGAGGTGGTTCTGCAGCCCCATGAGTCAGCTACCTCCCAGAGGACCTCCAGTCCCCTCTCCTTTTAGAAAAACAGAACCATTGGTGCACTTAGATCCCAATAGTCACTGCCACCAATCCTCTAGATTGCTACTGAAGAATCAAATCAAAGACAGCATTTGTTTATGTTGGGATATTGAGTCACTAAAAGAACCTCTGGAAATATGGAGGACCTCTTCTGAAATCAGGGTCAGTGCCTCTGACATCAGCAAGAATTGCTGTATGAGCTGGAGCAGGGCATACCAAGCCCCTCATTCAAGGTGTGCTGTTGCTGAGCAGTTAAATGCGCAATGAGAAGGAATTTCCTTCAACTGTAGCATATTGTAAGGAAGTACATTATTGTTATTTTTAATGCAAACAGTTTGAAATATCCAAATGCCAACTGTGGAGATAGATTCAGTAAGTTACAGTATTTTTACAGGGAACAATTGATGGCTTTAATGAAAGAGATAAGATGAAAGAGTCATTATATTTCAGAGCTTCTCCAAGGGGGAGGGGGGTGCATATTTGGATCATCCTGGAAATTTTCAGAATATACTGTCACACCCCTCTGACCTCCAAACCCCTTGACCCACCCACATTCCTGACCCTGATTCTGACACAGTGCTCTGGACATGGTGAATGTGGTCTTGGGCAAGTAGACTGTGTGAATTAAAGAGATTGGGGATCAAAATAGTGTTGTAAACTGTTAAGCAAATATAAGAAAAAAATCTTTAATTGTGGCATTTATGAAAAAGAAAAATACAGTTTTACTCTCAAGAAGTTTCCTCTCTATGAAAATGTAGCATTGGGGCCTCCCCGGTGGCGCAGTGGTTGAGCGCTGGGTTGCGAAGCTGCCCGCAGCCTCTGCGGCGCCGGTTCGATCCCCGGCTGCTCCCCGGCCACCGGAGGAGGGTCCCACATGGCGCGCAGACCTCTCCTGCCGCCCGCTGCTCCCCTCAGCAGTGTACTTAGGTCCTTCTGCCTGTTCTGCTCCCCACTCTGGCTCTGGTGAAGTCTCTCACCCTCCCGTGCTTCTGACTGTACCCAGTGCATGTGTAAACAAAACAAACAAATAAAAAAAAAAAAAAAAAAAAAAAAAACATGCCTCTAAAATGTAGCATTGAGGGCCTCCCCAGTGGCACAGCGGTTGAGCGCTTGGCTGCAAAGCTGCCCGCAGCCTCTGCAGAGCCGGTTTGATCCCCAGCCACCGGCGAGGGTCCCACATGGCGCGCAGACCCCTCCTGCCGCACCTGCTGCTCCCCTCAGCAGTGTACTTCGGTCCTTCTGCCTGCTCTGCTCCCCGCTCTGGCTCTGGTGAATTCTCTCACCGTCCCGCGCTTCTGACTGTACTCAGTGCTAGTATAAATAAATAAATAAATCTTTAAAATGTAGCATTGATCCTGTGGCAGGCAGTGGGCTAATATTAGACGTGTTACTAATTCCTTTGGTAAACACTGGGGTGCCACAGATTTGGGGGTGCTTTCTCCTGGTACTAACCCCCAGGATAGAGGGAGCAACCCAGAAACACAGGCTGCTTCTGCAAGGAGGAAAGAAAACATTAAAGTTTCTTCCTTTATAAATTTAGGATGAAACCTTTGCCTTTTCTTCAGTTATAAAACCTCCATGGCATGTGTGACACATGTGTGTATAATGGTCCCATAATTTATTTGTGCATCATAATTCATTTAACCCATTCTCTCTTTCCATATGAGTTCAGACTCTCCCCCAGGTTATTTGTGGAGCTTCTCCGGGCTGTGGCTTGTTATCTGTTGCTATAAATTATCTTCCACAAACACATGTGCCTCTTTGGTAATGCAGTGCAGATGTGAGTATTTGAAAAGCCTTGATAGTGAGGAGCACACAGGCATTTAAATCTGAGAGCAGGGACTTGGTGTTACCTCATTGGAAAAGCTCCCATGGCTGGGGGAAAAGGGGAGTGCAGAGTTGGCTCAAGCTGGTACCAGCCAGCTTCACCACAGCCAGGATCTTGGCATCTTCACTCCCCTTATTTTTCCAAACACCTTTTGCTTTTTCTTTTCTTCTGGTCTTCCCCCTTCTTCATCCTCTTTCCAAATCACCTTTGCTCTGCCCCAGGACTGTAACTGACCACTCAGAGCTACCATAAGCATTGTCTGTGACGCTCAGGGCTGGGAACCTGGAATTCGTGTAAGAAACATGAAAATTTTCTGTCACAGTTGCTACAGAGAGCTCCTAAA